AAGGCAATTTGGAAACATGTCCTTACATTTGCTCAGACCTTCTAATGCTCTGTCAGAGTTTAGAGCCACGGCTATGCATTTGCTGCTGGCGATGAGGCAGGCTTACACTAGTAATGGTGGGGGTTTCGGAGCTTCCTGAGCAGGGGAGATGAGTGCTGCACTTGCACTCTCTGGGACAGGTCACCCACAGATGCCATGGAGGTGTCATTCGGTAGTCACAACCTTAGGGCGCAGAAATGGTTACTGTGTTCAGAGAGGTGACGATATGTGCTCACATCTGCACAGCTGGTCAGAGTAGGACTTGTGTGTCGCTTGTATTTGACGGGAGCCAGTGTGACCTTGGTTTACCTGTGTCATAGATAACTTCAAGCTGAAGTCTGTCAGAGGAATTGTGACCCATCTCTGCCCCGACTATGGCTGGATTAATGACACCATCTTCTTTAATCCTGATATGGTGTGTGGAAATGTTCCAGTGAATGTTGGAATGAGTGTCATTGCTCTTGTAGAAGAGGATGAAACAACTCACGCAGTGAAAACCATCAAAGTAAGCCTGAGTTTGCTAAGATTCTCTCATAGGAATGGCATTTTTATATTTCCTCATGGATTAAGACAAGCAACATTGTGGACACAGGGTCAAAGCTGACCTTCTCCTTTGAGTTTAGAAGACTTGATGCTCTAAAATTCAACTGCAGTGATGTTTTTTCTGTTCCTAAAGCTTTTGCATCTCTTCTCCTAGTACTTGAACAACATAATAAATTATGGCCATTTTCTCCCGCCTTGCAGCTTGCATCTCTTAGTGAAAGCTGCTTTCTATCCTATGCATTCAAACTAGGAGATATAGCACGAACAGCCCTGTGTGCGCCATACTTTGTAATACACCAATTAAGATCTACTTAGCACACAGCAAGTTCTAGGTCCTACTATAAAATTTTGGAAGATAGTTCTGTAAAATACCACAAATGTCCAAGTATTTATATGTCAAAGGGTTTTATTTCTTTTAGCTATACTATCTAAACTGATTATCTCACCTTTTGCCTTTTGCCATAAAAGCCTTTTGCTAGTATTGGTAAACATAGATGATTAATTACTATTATTAAACTATCATAAATTAATTGTATATTGTATTATTGTAAAATTAGAACTAATATAGATTCATAATATTTCAAATTTTAAAACTCTTTATGCTTTTGTTGTTGCCTGCATGTGTTGTATGCTTGTGGAATCAGCATGCAGGCATGTGTGGAAGTCATAGGTTCAATACTGGCATGTTTTTCTCAGTTTCTCGCGCCCCCTTATGTTTAGAGACAGTCTCTCCCAGAACCTGGAGCTCACTATTAGGGCTATTCCGAACTGTTCAGAAAGTCACAGAATCTGGCCGTCTGTACCTTCAGGACTGAGGTAACAGATGGATTCCACCATATCTTGCTTTAATGTGGGGGTTCTGGAAATCATCATTCAGGTCCTATGGTTGCACAATAAGCATTTCACCCACCGAGACAATTCCCTATCCCTCGAATTTCTTTAAAACTTAGTGATAAAGTGGCAATTTTCTGGTTTTGCTCTTCTCTTTAGTTAAATTCATAATAGCTCTTTCCATGTTAAGAAAAATATATATCTTTGTTAGGAAAAATGTTTATGTTTGTTCCCATTATTTTACTTAATGCTCTGTTTTCTTGATTTTATGTATAATTTTAACACTATAAGTATTCTCATTGTATCTTTTTGTTTTAGCAAGAATTGTACAGCTAATGCCAATTCACGATTTATGAAAACATTCATTTCTTTTCCATTTTATCTATTCTTATTTTAGGAGACAGGCTCTTAATCTGTTTATCATATGCCTGACATCCATTATGTAGCCTTGACTGACCTCAAATTCACAGTCGTTCTACTAGTCTCTTCATTCCAACTGCTAGGATTATAAGCCCCATGCACTGTGTCTCGTCTTGGTTTTGTTTCTTTCCAAAAGCTGTATGAGTATATAAATGCAAGCATGCAAGCATTCAATCACCCCGTTTTTGACATAACGTCCTAAGACAAGGATCTACATCTTGCTTTGTAATTTCTTGTTATATGTAGTGGTCCTGTACTGCAGATTGGATCATCCACTAGGTGTCATTTGATTGGGAAGGGCAATAGAATATTAAAATATTTTCTTAAGCCCTAGGATATATCTTTATCCTTCTCTGTATTCATGGTATTTCAATTTTAAAAGATTTATTTTATTTTTAAACATGTATACATGTGTCCCTGTGGGTTTATGCCACCTGTGTATAGATGCTTGCAGAGAGCATTAGCACTAGTGTGCCAGAGCTTATGGCATTATGAGCTGCCTGACATGGGTGCTTGGAGTCAAACTCAGGTCGTCTGGAACCGATATGTGCTATTCACTTCTGAGCCATCACTCCAGCCCCATTAATCATATTTCTTAGGTTTAAAAAATATAGAACTGGCAGAATACAAGTTTTCCAGGAAAACTCTGAACTTCTTCAAGGTATAGTATATCTGTGATTTCTTGTAGAGTGGGAGATGTGAGTGCATTCAACATAGGTGAACAATTTATTTTTGGAATACATTTACCAAACCATGGAACAAGCACAGACATTTATGCATCTTCTCATGTCCATGATGATAGTGCTGAATGCTGTCATTTAAATGATTTCTGTTGAATTTGGGCTGTTTTGATGTGAAAAATAAAGCACTCTCTGTCTCTGACAGGAGTTGTATATACCCAAAGTCCTTACAACTGTGACAAACCAACTTGTTAAGTTGCCATTGTTTTGATGGTGAATCATTTGCATATACAAAGATCTGCTTGTAATTGTTATTTTAGCTGCAATCATTGTCTCCTTATATTATAGGTGAAAGCCATGTCTGATCCTATCTATGGTATTGAACCATCAGAATTTGACAAAAGACTTTGCATTAAGTGTGTGAGCTATGCAACACAGGACAACATCTTCATAAGCAAGGAAACATTTTTCCCCATGCAACTACTTTCTGGAGGTATGGTTTGTATTTTCTTTAGTTCTTCGAGAACTTTATATAGTGAACTTTGACCATTTTCATCTCCTCCCCTTAGCCCACCCCTCTTTCCTACACACCCAACATTGTGTCCTCTCCTTATTCACTGATCAAGTCCAATCTGTACTGTTTATACATTCAAGGATGTGTAGCCTTCCCCCGGAACATGGTGGACCTATCAGTAGCAATACTCTTAATTTTTATTTATGTCTATTAGTATTTTCATGCACATATGTGTACTGTGTGTGTGCCTTGTACCCAAGGAGGGCTGAAGAGGGTCTTGGGTCCCCTGAAACTAGAGTTTCAGATGGTTCTGAGCCACCATGTTGTTGCTGGGAACCCAACCTCTGCTACAGCACCTTAACTACAGAAGCGTCTCTCCACGACTGAGATTATAAACTTTTGCTAGCACATCTGACTACATTCAATTTCTGGTCACTGAACATCATGCATGCAAGGGATTTACATCAAAAATACTTCAATCATTGCAAAGCCAGGGCGCAAATAGTCCTTGTTCCTTTTTTCCCTCTCCACCCTCTTCTCTATGTGTCCTTATTCTAAAACACTGTTAGTCTCAACAGTCAGACCCTCCGACTTTGGCTTTAGCCTAGGTACACTGGGAGGTACTCAGATCCAGCAACTTGCTTCTACAACTGTTTCTGGCTGCCTCTCCAAATAGAGATGTGGCTATTTGAAGAGGAATACCAGTGATTCTAACAAATTGCTTACTCTGAGACACACAGTTCTTAGTTGTCAATATCTGACTGTTAATGAGGGTAGAAAAAGGAGTGTTTAAAGAATTATAAACTTCCCTTATTGTAGGAATATATTCAAGGTATCTGTGATGGGTTTTATTTTGTCTTTTATTTTTTGAGACAGGGTTTCTCTGTGTTGCTTTGAAACCTGTCCTGGAACTCACTTTGTAGACCACATTGGCCTCAAACTCACAGAGATTCACCTGCCTCTGCATCTGGAGTGCTGGCATAAAGCCACCATACCTGTCCAAAAGGTATCTGTAAGCATTTGGAAAAGTGATTTTACAATCAGGAAATGTTGGTCAACCTATTGCAGTGACAAAAGGCCTTAGGTAATGTGACATGACCTGAGTGCAATAATATTTACTCTTCTAATTTTCTTGGCTGTTTTAGGATTTTTGCCCTTTAAAGGGGACTTGTTGCTGGTTGAGTATTCCTTGAAGCCAGGCACTTCAAACATCACTATACACACTGTGAGCCTGCTAAACTCCCAGAATATGGATGAGGTAATTTGCTTCCATGTTACCCTTGTCATGGGTAGGTAGCTGCCTATCCTTCCTTCCTGATCACTTTCTTGCTCAGAATTTTGTTTGGCAGTATATCCCCTGCAAAAGTTGATAGGTTCACAGACTGAAAAAGAAATAAGAGAAAATAATGTAGAATATACACGTACTTAATTCGTAGGTTGTGTGCTTTACTTAATGTTAGGATGCTCTGTGAACAACAGTTAGAAAGTGTCTTGACTGTGAGGCAATTGTGGGGAAACGTTGAGTGCATTGGGTTTGAGGTCTTCAGCCTGCTGATAAAGATGGATAAGCCCATGGTCAGTACAGCCTGAGAATTAGATGTAAAGTCAGAGAGGGTAAAGTTTGTGGCCATATTGGGTACCATGAAGGGCACAGCCTCTCATCACACAGGAGATAGTGTGTGGGGCCATATTGGGTAGCATGAAGGGCACATCTTCTCATCACACAGGAGATAGAGTGTGAAACCGTATTATGTACCATGAAGGGCATGTCCTCTCATAACACAGGAGGTACAGTTTGTGGCCATATTAGTTAGCATGAAGGGCACAACTTCATGTTACATAGGAGATAGAGTGTGGGGCCATATTGCTTAGCATGAATGGCATATTTTCTCATCACACAGGAGATAGTGTGTGGGGTCATACTGTTTAGCATGAAGCACATATTTTCTCATCACACAGGAGATAGAGTGTGGGGCCACCTTGGGTAGCTTGAAGGACATGTTTTCTCATCACACAGGGATTAGATGTGTTGGCACCGTTTCCAGGTATTCCCTGTGTGTCGAGGATGAGAATCAGTGATGGGCCAAGGGACCTGCTAATTAGAGCCAAGGGGTTGTTGAGGACCATCTGTGATGGACTCTGCTTCTCCATACTCAGTGTCTTCATTTCCCATCATAGGTCTGTGTGACCAGTATTGATGGAAGAACTGGTGTGGTAGACGACATCATCTTTTTCACCTTGGACTCGCTCCAGAAGCCGAATGGCTATACTCCAGGGCTGTACGACATTGTGAATATTGTTGCTGTGGATAGCATTCAGCCACACTGTTCTTGGAGAGCAGTATCAATGGTCCCAGTGGAAATGTGTATTGATCAGGCCTAGTAATTAATTTTCAATATTACTTCTAAGGCTCTGGTTAATAAAACGATATGAGAACGAAACTCAAAGATATGTGAACTATGACTCTTCTTTTGAACATTCTGGTGATTTAAGTAGCATCATGGACTCACTTTAGGAAGGTACCTTGTTAATAAAAAACATGTCCTATTGGAACGTGATTTTAGCAAAGAAACCGCCCTGCCCTTCAGGTAAGTGCATCATTTTCCATGAGCAGGAGCAGATTCTGTGCTGCCAGTGGCCTTGCAGACCATTGAGATGTATGGTGAAGCAAAGCATTTACCTTGAGATTCCAGGAGCGAAGGTGAATGTGACCTTGTGTGATTTAACATTACAGCTGGCCTTCTAGCTTGAGTCTCTTTACGCCTTTCCAAAGTTTATTTCTCTACAATTTCTACCAGCTACTCCATTTGTTAAACTTAGTGTTTATCTGTGGATCCTCTTCCTATACTAGCATTTTATCTCCATAAAAATAGGGTGTTAGGTGAGTTGTTTTCCAACTCCCAGCATTCATAATTCTTAGTAGGTCCTAGGAGTGGACTGAAAGTTACAGACTAGTAAATAATTTCACTAGGCTTTAGTAGTGCTTTGATATAGCACTACTACAATTTTCAGTTGTTATATTTTAAATTGTTCCAAATCCCATTAAGAACTCATTTAAACAAAATATCATATATGTAAAAAAAATCAATTCTGAAACCATTTTATGAAATTAGTGTAGTTCATTTGCAGGCATGGATCAGATAAAACTCTAGAGCCATTTTCTTGATACTGACATTGCTGACTCAAGGGGGAAGTATCTAAATAATATACAAATAAATGCCTCCTAAGACCAATGAGATCCAGTTTCATTGGAAAGTGGTGGTATGTTTACCCCAGGCACATTATCTATGATTTGACCAGAAGTTCATGTTCTTAAGTAACAGAGCTTTCCACATACCAACCCTGGCTTTAATTTACCAATACAGTTTTCATAATCTTTATTTTCTTGAAATTTCTCTGGATCATCAGATATCTCTATGTCATGCCAACTGTAACAGTAACAACTGCAAAATACTATTATTATTATTATTTGTGGGTTTTTTTTGAGACCAAGGTTTACTGTGTAACAATGTTTGCTGTCCTGGAAATATCTCTGTAGATCAGGCTGGCCTTGAACTCACAGAGATCTACCTACATCTCCCTCTTGAGTGCTGGGATTCAAGGCTGTAGTGAGGGGCTGCAGGCAGGCCTGCTTTTTATCCCGCCTGGCTCCCGCATGGCTAGCTTAGCCCCAGAAATAACAACACACAAATTGTATTCATTTAAGCACTGCCTGGCCCATTATCTCTAGAGAGTTAGTTACTGACTAACTCTCATATCTTGATATTAACCCATTTCTAATAATCTCGTGGTAGCACCACGAGGTAGTGGCTTACCGGAAAAGATTCAGCATGTCTGACCTAGTGGCTGGCTCCATGGCGTCTGCCTCATTGCCCTCTTCCCAGCATTCTATTCTGCTTACTCCGCCTACCTAATTTTCTGTCCTATCAAAGGGCCAAGACAGTCTCTTTATTGACCAATGAAAATAACACAATAGACAGATAACCCTCCTCCATCATTTCCCCTTTTTCTGTTTAAACAAAAAAGAAAGGCTTTCATTTTAACATAGTAAAATTACACATAACAAAACAGTTATCAAGCAAGAATTACAGTCACAATATTTATAACTATATCTTTATCATAATAATGGAAAACTATAACTACGACTATCCATTCTTTAACTCCATCAAAGACTCCAGAAGGATATATTACCTAAGTAAACAAGAAGTAAGCAACTTCCAAAACTCTAGAAATGACAGAGACATCTTGCTGCCTGGACAGTCACCCAAAGTTCCTCTATATCGTTGGGGCACCCATCTTCAGCCTTCAGGCCCATAATATCCAGAGACATTTCCATGAAGCAGGAAATTTCAAAGGCAGTTCAGTCACTATCTGCTATGTCCTGCAGAATGTCTCGCAGACTCTTTCATGAATCAGGAACCCCGAAAGATCATCTCACCTTTAGGCAAGTTCAGCAGTCCTCTCTCTGCGGGTTCTCTGTGTCCAAGTTTATACAACAGTCCAGGCAAGAACAGTTTCTTGCCCAAATGGCTAACCAACTCCATAAGGAGCCTCTTTGATGCCCTTCTTCCTCTTGAAGTAGATTGGTGCTGCCAGGAGCAGACGTGTCTCATTGTCATGAAAAGTCCTAAGTTATTAAAACATTAAATGCCATGTTCTGTAGTCTTTGAAAGATATGAATGTCTATCTGAAATATATCTATGCACTTCTAGAAAATCAGACTAACATTACTACAAGCTTGACTATTATCGATGATTATCCATTAACAACCTATATTTTTAATTATACATTACATTTTAAATGAACTACACAATCACAATACATCAATCAAGATCAGAAATATATATATATATATACATATAACAAAATTGACCTTAAAATCCACAACAAAGAAAATTATTCATATCTATACCATATCCCCCTTTAAATGTAAAAGAACATTTATAAACAATATCTGGGAATATGGACGTAGTTATTTCTCTCCAAACTTCTTCCTGCTGAATAGGGGCACTGTTAATCAGGTCTTTCATAGTAAACCTGTTTGCTAGCTTTGTCTCAGTTGACAGTTGAATGAAGTAATTTTTTGAGGGTGTTCACAGCAACCTTTCAGGAGGGCGTGGTCTATCATACCATATTGGGATAGAAGCAATCCACAGGGTCTCATCCTCTGTGAAAACAAAAGAAGAACCTCCTTTCCAAAGTATCATATCCTTAGATCCAAATTCAGAAGTCAAGGTATTTTCAACATATCTATCTTGGATTAGTTCAGCAGCATTTATAAACAAATATCTTTTAGCAGCTGTTGCTCCTTCCTCAGCATTCAAACAATTCAAAGAGAGCATAATAGCATACAGTATCAAGATTCTCTGTGTATTTTCCATTTTTATGCAGCTTTATTTTTAACCTCTATTTCTTTTATTTTTACTTTTACTTTTTGACACAGGTTCTCTGTATATCTTTGTCCTGGAATAACTCTGTAGACCAGGCTGTCCTTGAATTCACAGAGATCTGTCTGTCTCTGCCTCCGCAGTGCTGGGATTAAAGGTGTGTGTTACCACACCTTGAAGTCACAGAGGTCAACTACCTCTGCCCCTTAAAGTCTCAGAGGTCAACGTACCTCTGCCTCCCAGGCATTGGGATTAAAGGTGTGTTCTACCACACCCAACTATTCTCTTTTTATTTTAAGAACTTTTAACTTTTATCCTGCATATATTTTTAACACATTGTAAACTCTTTAGAGGTTTTGTTCATCTTTGAACCTTTCTTTAATGTATCTCTATCTCTTTTTTGAGTACATGAGTCTTTAAGAAGAAGATTAATCCTCTCCTTTAAAGCCTTGGCTTTGACGGCTAGATCCAGCTCATTCTTTAGCTTTCCAGCCTTGTGGCTGAGGTACCAGCCAGTTCACTGCCGCCACAACTCTATGGCTTTTCAAGGTCCTTGGCAGCAAGCAAACTGGGACCACACTCAGTTGGACCGCCTGCCTGAAAGAGTCAGAATTTGCCCTGGCAGGACGGCTGGCATTTTAAAACAGCGCAGCTTTTTTTCCTGCTAGTGCTGAAAACCCAAAAAGCATGCGTTCAGCTTTTCATCAACACCGTTTAAGTGCTTCGCGGCAGGACCTCTTAAAAGAGCTGCAAGGTTTTGCAGCTAAAGCTGAGTCAGGAAGCCTCTCTTAGATGAGAGCATTTGCTTGCCTCTAGCAAGCAGAGCAGACATGAGAAATTGCTGCTACCATACCAAGAAAACATGCTTTACTCTATTCTTTCCCCAGCTTCTTCAGGCTTTTTGTGGATTTAGTTATCCACGTTGGCGCCATCTGTAGTGAGGGGCTGCGGACAGGCCTGCTTTTTGTCCCGCCTGGCTCCCGCATGGCTAGCTTAGTCCCAGAAATAACAACACACAAATTGTATTCATTTAAGCACTGCCTGGCCCATTATCTCTAGAGAGTTAGTTACTGACTAACTCTCATATCTTGATATTAACCCATTTCTAATAATCTCGTGGTAGCACCACGAGGTAGTGGCTTACCGGAAAAGATTCAGCATGTCTGACCTAGTGGCTGGCTCCATGGCGTCTGCCTCATTGCCCTCTTCCCAGCATTCTATTCTGCTTACTCCGCCTACCTAATTTTCTGTCCTATCAAAGGGCCAAGACAGTCTCTTTATTGACCAATGAAAATAACACAATAGACAGATAACCCTCCTCCATCACAAGGCATGCACCACCACTGCTCTGCTAAGATATTATTATTATTATTATTATTATTATTATTATTATTATTAATTTTATGTATATTGATGCATTGTTTGCATGTACATGTGAGGGTGTTGGATCCCCTAGAATTGGAATCTACAGATAGTTATGAGCTGCCATGCAGGTACTGCAAATTGAATCCAAGTCCTCTGGAAGAGCAGTCAGTACTCTTAACCACAGAGCCATCTCTCCAGCCCCAAGATATCATCTTAACACATTTTTATTGATTGTTTGGGAATTTCACATCATGTACCCCAATCTCACTCATTTCCCAGTCCTTCCATATCCACCCTTCACCCTTGTAGTGTCCTCCACCAAAGAACAGTAAAAAATAAATAAAAATAAGATAAAAACAAAAATACAAACAAAACAGGACCAAAACACAAGTTTAAAAAAAGCAAAAAAAAAAAAACCACTTTGATCCTCTGATGTGGGATTCCCTTCTGTATGCTGTGAATACCATTGGTTAATAAAGAAACTGGCTTGGTCTGTGATAGGGTAGAATAGAGCTAGGCAGGAAAAATTAAACTGAATGCTGGGAGAAAGAAGGCTGAGTTGGAAGAAACCATAGAGCCTCTGCTGGAGACAGACAAGCCAGAACTTTTCAGGTAGGCCACAAGCCTCTTGGTAAAATATAAATAATGGAAATGGGTTAAATTGAGATGTAAAAGT